TCAAATGTAACCTCACTTCTGTCCAAGGTCAGCAAAATGCCAAGAGGCCAGTAAGTAAAGTCCACTGATAGTTCACCAGACTCAGGATCCTGTGAAAGGTTGAGAAGGAATCCTGACCGTCTTTTTGGTCACTTTGCTGTCTTCAGAACAAGCCCTATGCCAATGGGAACTCCCTGTGTATGGTTAGGGGTTTCCACATATTAGGTTGTGTTCACTTTCTACTCTGCTGGGCTGCTCACACCAAGGACCTCTAGTTTTGCTTCTTTGTAGGAATAAATGTCATGGATGGAGAGAATACAGACATTTTTTTTTTTTTCTTCAGCATCTCCCATTTCCCTGTGTTTTGCCCCCAGGGGACATTTGACCATGTCTGGGGACATATTTAGGTTTTCCAGATGGCACAAACGTTTAAGTGCTTGACTACTACCCCGTAATAGTTGGAGTTGTGTGTCAACTTGGCTGGACCACAATTCTGAGTGCTTTAAGCAGTTGTGATGTGGGTTACTCCCATGATGAGATCGGATGTGTATGTTTTGAGCAGCCAATCTGTTGAAAGGGAGTTTCTCTAGGGGTGTGGTCTGCTTCCGATATATTTATGGACATCCTGGGGAAAAGAGATACACTTCTGTGGATCAAGATCCTGTTGTGCTGCCTACAACTGCCTGTGAGTGAACAATCCACCATTTGGCCTGGAGATCTTGGATTCGTCATTCATTGGCATCAACAGCCGGTATACTGCCTGCCAACCTTGAGCTCTTCAGCCCCTGCAGCTGCGTGAATTGGGAAATGCCTCCAGCTTGGTGTTTGATGCAAGAACTTGGGACTTGCCAGCTTCTATAAGTGTGTGAGCCATTTTCCTAAGATAAATTTATTTTTCTCTCTCTTTATATAAGCTTAACTGGTTTTGCTTCTCTAGAGAACCCAGCCAAATTCATACCCTAAAGGTTGGTGGTTCAAGTTCGCCCTGAGGCACCTCAGAAGAAAGTCCTGTGATCTATTTCTGAAAGATCACAATCATTGAAAATGCTATGGAGCACAGTTCTATTCTGATACATAAGGTGTAGCCATAAGTCAGAGTTGACTAGGTGACAATTTTTTGTTTTGCTTTTTTCATCTTGGATACGTAGTTGGTTGTCACAACTGAGAAAAAGGTGCTACTAGCATCTAGTTGCTAGAGGTCAATGATACTGCTAACCATCCTACAATGCACAAGATAGCCTCCTGTAGTAGTTAAAGTTATATGTCAACTTGGCTGGGCCTCGTTATGAGTGGCTGGGCAGCTGGATATAGTTATTGCACATGATTAACATTGGTAATCAACTCCATGGTAGAATCTACTGAAGCAGCTGGGTAGCTGCTTTAGGGATGTGTTCTGCTTCCAGTATATAAGAAGCAACTATGAAGAAGCACTCCAGTTTTTTGGCAGGCTTGAAGCTTGCATGTAGCCAAGTGGTTGTTCAGCAGCCTGCCATGCCCTGCCAATCTTGAGACTTTTTCTGGACTTGAGTTAGTGCCCTGCCGTGTTGTTTGGTAATATTGGAACTGTGCTTTTTTTACTTGTCAACCTTGGGTTTGTCATCCTCAGCAGCCAGCAGCTGCCTGAGTGAAGAAAAGCCTCCAGGTTCAGTGGGCCAGGAGTAGGAGGCAGAGCTAAAGCCCAAGGCTGAGGGGCTTTCACCCAGCCCCTAGAGCCTGGCACTTCAAACTTGGACTTCTAGCCTCCAAAATTGTAAGAGAATAAACTCCTGTTTGTTAAAGCCATCCATTTGTGGTATTTTCTGTTAGAACGGCACCAAGTAACCAAAACACCCCCAAAATAAAGAATCATCTGGCCCAAAATGTCAATAGTGCTTAAGTAGAGAAATCCTGCTGTATTCTTTATGCGCACATTTACAGACTTCCTCCAAATGACTATTATCGGTGGCAAGGAAGAGCAAAATCTCAGATACTCCCTGTTCCTGCTCCTCAGAGTCACTAGTCATTCAGAAATCTCTTTAGCCATAAAGACCCCAAGGAATTATATATTTATCTGGAAGACTAAAGAACAAATATCATTTTAACTTCTTAAAACTGATTATCATTAGGTATAATGCCACCTTTTAACTGTAAGTATAAAGGAAAGTGCTGATTATTTAAAGTAAATGGGACCAAAAGCCCCATGAATAATAAAAACCTTGGTTAATAGAGTATGACCGGAGAATAATGCACTTGGCTTCTGTGGAGAAATTAAAGTACATGCTGTGAATTAGTATTAAGGAAATTGCATGAAAGGTTAGTCTTAGGCACTATGATTCTGAAGAAACAGCCTCAAGTGCACAATATATCACATTCAGTCTTTATCTCTCTTCTTTTTTTTCATGACTTCTTTCACCTTGGATAACCCAGAAGCTCAGGACTTGGAAACTTTTGGAATGGTGAGGTATCTCACTATCCACACTCATGTTCATCTAGTAACAGACCTGATTATTGCCAGTAGTTAGTTATCTATAGAAATTGCTTCAAAGCTCAGGTTGCCTTATCTTGTTGGTACAGACAGTGTTTAATAGTTTCAAACATAATTTGCTTTTTACAAACTGTGTTCCTGAAAGTTATTCCTAAATTTTGTTAAATAGAACAGAAATTTTAAATCATAAGGGAAACTTGCCATTTAAGGGGAGTCTGAGGGAGGTTTTTTGAGAAAAGTACCTTTTTGCAAAGTGAATAATTACTCCTTAATTTATCCAGTCTTGAGTCTCAATCTTTATATGTTGTCCAAGAGTCTAGTCCAGTATTACTTGATGTATTACATGATTTTTAAAATATCAATTATGAATTTGGAAGGAGTTTGAAAGTTGAAGTTTTCAAGCTATTCTAGGAGTGTAAAAATTTTATTAACATGGATTTGTTGACAAGTTTTTGGGGCCATATGCTAGATATATTTGAAAAAAGAATAGATAGCATTGCTGAGCTGATAATCTCCTTGATGTCTTTCCCTCAGCAATAAAGGTGAAGAGTGAGAAGACTGCGTAATGTGGTTAAGGACACTAATTCATTAACCAGATTGCCTGGGTTCACATCCTTGCCTAATGTGACTTTAGGCAATTTATGTAACTTCTCTGTGCTCCAATTTCTTGCGCTTCCATGAAGCATGGAGAATACTTAGTACTCAGTGGGGCTGTTTTGAGGATTAAGTGAGATAATACATGAGCTAATATGTGGTAGCATAGTGGCTAAGACACTTGCCTGCTAACCAGACGGCTGGCGGTTCAAACCCACCAGCCACTCCTCGGAAGGAAGGTTGGGCAATTCTACTTCCGTAGTGATACTGCCTCGGAAACCCAAGGAGGGGTCGCTATGAGTCGGGCCGACTCGACGGCACATAACAACAACAACAACAACAATATGTGGAAAGCACTCGAATCAGTGTTGAAACTTGGATGGAGTGCAGAGTTCTTAGGCTAGGCATTAAGAAAATATCTAGACGCCCATTACTAGGTATATACCCTAAAGAAGTGAGAGCCATAACAAGAACAGATATATGCACGCCGATGTTCATCGCAGCACTATTTACAATAGCCAAAACTTGGAAACAATCTAGATGTCCAACAACTGAGGAATGGATAACCAAACTTTGGTACATTCACACAATGGAATACTATGCAACGCTAAAGAATAATGTAGAATCTGCAAAACACCGCATAACGTGGATGAACTTGGAGGACATTATGCTGAGCGAAATAAGTCAGTCACAAAAGGACAAATATTGTATTAGTCCGTTATTGTGAAAGTTAAGGAAAGGTTTATATATTGGAGGACATTTTCTTTGTTGGTTACCAGGGGTGGGAGGGAAGGGGAGGGAATGCTGTTAGATAGATAGAGATAAATATTGATTTGGGTGAAGAGAAGGGCAATGTACCAAATGTGAGTGACCAATATGGCAGCATTGAGGATGAGAAAGACAGAGAGAGTTACATGGGCAGTACAAACAACAAATATGAACCCCTTTGTAAATACAATACTGAGTTGTCAATGAAAGCAAACATGGGTATAGGGACGGATAGATGGGTGAACAAGCTAAACAATTATGTATGTCTAAATGGAGAGTGTATCCAAGATCATATACAGGGTTGGCAGACAATGGGCCTCTCGAAGAGTATGAAGGGATGGACACTGGGAGGAGGTAACTATGGGGAGGAAGTGGGAGGGGAGCTGCTGCATTGTAAATTTTGGTCAATGACATGAGACAAAGTATATGTGAACTGCTGTATGAAAAGTGAATTTACTCTGTAAATCTTCACCCAAATCCTAATAAAAAAAAAAAAAGAAAATATCTAGACGGCCGGGCGCTGTCCCGTTTCATTACACCTTTTCTACACCCTTGTGAGGGAAACACTGCTGGTCCTGCCTAGACTGTACACTGAAAAAATCGAGGCTCAGCGAAAACGCTGGTAATTCGGACAGGGGTCCGAAAACATTTCTTGGGAAGAGGAAGCCTATCCGCCGCGACACGTCGCCTTCCGTCTGGTGGGGAGCTGAGGGAAGGAAGGCACGAGGACTCAGTCCTGTGCCGGACTTTCCGTTCCACCACTGAGTCGTGCCTTACAGATGGTATTCCTAGAGGCGCAGGGGCTGGCGGCGCCCAAGAAGCTTCCCCGAGAAGCGAGCGTCTAAGCCAGACGCCTTTCCTTCCGGGTAGGCACTGACCCTCATCCATGACACAAAAATTAATCCGCGTCCACTCTGTCCTGGGCCCCGAGAATGCTCTGACAAATCCGACTAAGCCCAGATTTCAAAAGGAGAGGTATCATTAAATGCGCAGTCTACTCCCAGCCAGCGATCTACACAAAACTGGAGGAGGGGGTGGGAAGAGCACACACTTCGCTCCGCCCCTCGCTTTCCCGGGCTCATCTCCAAAGCCCCACCCCTTCGGGGCGTTCCCAGCTAAGCCGTAAAGTAGGGACCAGTCTTTGCTCCTTAACAGTCCGCCTCCGTCATTACGGCAGGCCGCATTCCATGCCTCCAACATGGCGTCGCCCATGTGTTTACCTGTCGTTTCTATCCTGGGTGGCCTGAGGCAGTACTGAGCTGGGGCTCCTGTCTAGTCTGGGTTTCAGAAAACAGAAGTTAAAGTTCGTTTCTGGTCACGGCTTCAGGAAGCCAACCTCCTGACGATAAAGAGACGCTGCTTCCTTCTAGTCTCTGCAAGTTTCTCCTCTGTCCCCGGTTTGTTCCCGGCGCCACTGCCGGACACCCCGGGTCTCTAATCCTCCGGGTCTCAAACCATGAGCCTCCAGCAGCTGCTGTTGCGCTCTTCCCGCTATCTCGGGGCTTCGAGTTCCTCTCGTCGCTTGTGGTGGTCCCCATTACTTGACACCACCTCCAAGGTGGGTTCCTGGCGTGGCCAGTCCTCCAGGTCCCCGGCCCACTGGAACCAGGTAGTGTCAGAGGCGGAGAAGATCGTGGGCTATCCCACGTCCTTTATGAGCCTCCGCTGCCTGCTGAGCGACGAGCTCAGCAACATTGCCATGCATGTACGGAAGCTGGTGGGGACTCGGCACCCTCTGCTTACCACAGCCAGGTGAGCTACTTCTTTTCCTGCCTTCACACTCGCATCCACACTGACGTCCGGCTTCTCTCTTTTTTACCCCTTCCTGCTCTCAGCTCTTCTATACCTTCAGTGTTGTCTCCTCTAGATTACTCACCTTCATATCCTTCCCCACGTGCTCAGCCAAATGGATAAGTGATTTATCTTTTAGGAAACACTTGTATATTTCTCATGGTTTTGCTTCTTAACCGCAGAGGGTAAACGTGCCTCAGTGATCTATGGAGAAATGGAGCAGGAATGTGGGGTTTATTAAGTTACTTTCAAGGAATGGTTTTTTAAAAGTGGGATTGATGTATTTCCGGTTCTGCTTTCTTCAAGAGTAAGAGTTCGTCTGCACAAAGTGTAGGGAGAGGAAGACAGGCTGAGGGTAGAGAGTTTTTTGCAGTAGGAATTTAGCCATTAGTGGTCATTATCCTCTTAGGATCTTTACCACTTACCCTGGACTACTGCTAATTGCTAAAGATCAAAGCTTTGCTTACACTTAAAAAACACACAAGCACAGCTTATTAAAACATAATGTCAAACTTGCAGGAAAAAGTGCCAGAATTAAAAATAGTACAAATAGCACAGGGAGACAGCTCAGGGGGCAGGAGAGTATGGAGGGATGGACACTGGGAAGAGGTAACTATGGGAAGGAAGTGGGAGGGGAGCTGTTGCATTGTGGTAAACTGTGGTCAATGACATGAGACAAAGTATATGTGAACTGCTGTATGGAAAGTGAATTTGCTCTGTAAATCTTCACCCAAATCAAAATAAAATAAAAAAATAAATAAATAAAAAATAGTACAAATAGAACACACTCCGTACCCGTTACTCAGATAGATTAATCTGTTATTACACACTTAATAAGTGCCGCTGAGTCAGTTCCGACTCATTGACCCTGTGTACAGCAGAACGAAACACTGCCCGGCTCTGCTTCGTCCTGCGCCACTCAAAATCGTTGCTGCGTTTAAGCTCATTGTTGCAACCACTGGATCAGTCCATCTCGTTGAGGGTCTTCCTCTTTCCCTGACCCTCTACTTTACCAGAAATAATGATATCCAGGGACTAGTCCCTCGACAACATGTCCACAGTACGTGAGACAGAGTCTTGCCGTCCTCGCAAGAGCATTCTGGCTGTACTTCTTCCAAGATAAGATTTGTTCATTTTTCAAGCAGTTCATGGTATATTTAATATTCTCCAACACTATATAGTCAGAGGTACCAGTTCTTCTCCGATCTTCCTTCTTCATTATCCAGCTCTCAAATGCATAGGAGCCGGTTCAAAATGTTATGGGTTGGGTCAGGCGCCAGAAGCTCTGGTGCCCTAGTGGTTAAAACATTCCCCTGCTAACAAAAAAGGTTGACAGTTTGAACCCACTTGTCTTTCCGCGCGGGGGTGAGATGAGAGTGCTTCTGTAAAGATATACGGCCTTGGAAACCCGATGGAGCAGGTCTACTTTGTCTTAAAGGCTCACTATGAATAGGACTTGACAGTGGGTTTGGTTTTCTTGGGGGTGGGTCAGGCGCATCTTAGTCCTCAGGTAACATCTTTGCTTTTTAACACTTTAAAGAGGTCTTTTGCAGCAGATTTGTCTAGTGCAATGCATTACGTCCTTTGATTTCTTGACAGCTGCTTCCATGGGTGTTCATTGTGGATCCAAAGTGAAATCCTTGATGTCAATATTTAATGATGTGTAATATATATGTAATAATGATGTAGTATTATTGGTCCAGTTGTGAGGATTTTTGTTTTCTTTATGTTAAAGTGTAATCCATACTGAAGGTGTAATCCATTCTGAAGGTGTTTTTGTTATGTTAAGGTATAATCTATACTATGTATTGATATATGCAATCTGCCTAAGGCACTTGACAACCAGAAGGTTGGTGGTTCAAACCCACCAGCCACTCCTCGGAAAGAAGATGGGGCAATCTACTTCCGTAGTGATACTGCCTTGGAAACCCAAGGAGGGGTCGCTATGAGTCGGATCCGACTCGATGGCACATAACAACAACAACAACCCTCAAATGATTCCGAGAAAAAATAGTATATATACACGTATACATATGTGAATAGTACATGTGTGTATGTGTATATATAGTATACATATATATGTATTTTTTTTTCTCAAAATCATTCGAGGGTAGATTGCATATATCAGTACTTCAGTGCATATTTCTATCACTTAACTACAATACAGTTCTCAATTTAGGCACTTAATATTGATACACCAAACCAGACCAAACTCACTGCTGTCAGTTGGATTCTGACTCATAGCGACCTCTCCTTGGGTTTCCGAGGCAGTATCTCTATGGAAGTAGATTGCCCAGTCTTCCTTCTAAGGAGTGGCTGGTGGGTTTGAACCACCAGCCTTCTAGTTAGCAGTCAAATGCCTTAGGCACTGTGTCACCAGAGCTTGTTAATATTGATACAGTACTGTATCAAAGTACTATAATATTGATACAGTACTTTTATTTAATCTGCCATTTATATTCCAATTTTGTTAACTGACTTAATATCCTTTCTAACATTTTTCTCCTCTTCAGGACAGGATACAGTCTCCGATCAGGAGTTGCATTTAGGTGTCAAGTCCCTTTTGTCTCCTTCATCTCAGAACATTTCTACGACCCTTCCTTGCTTTTATGACTTGAGTAATGGTTCTCAACTAAGGTCAATTTTGCCCCCTAGAGGATCTTTAAGGAGCTCTGGTTAAGGCATTTTGGCTGCTAACCAAAAGACTGGTGGTTCAAACCCACTAGCTGCTTTGTGGAAGTAAGATGAGGCAGTATGCCTCCATAAAGATTTACAGCTGTGGAAACCCAATGGGATTCTCTGCGAGCTGGAATCGACTTGATGACAGGAATGTGTGTGTAGGGGGAAACTTTAGCAATGACTAGAGACATATTTAGTTGTCACGCAAGGGTGTGCTACTGGCATCTAGTGGATAGGGATGTCACCTTTGACTGGGCAAAAGTTTTCCTGTAGCAGCTGGAATGTTAGTTCTCCAGAGATTCTGCCACACACTGAAAATATTTTGTTTATGTGTAAATAATAAAAGAGAAGAGCCTACTGCACAATTTAAGAAAAAAAACCTTATCGATTCTGTTGAAGCTATCTGTGTACTCCTTAGTCCATCTCCCTGACCTCCACTATATTGAATGTTTTGTTTAATATTCCATTTTTTAGTTATATGTGTGTTTTCCTAAACTAATAGCTTAATATTTAATTTTGCTTGTTTTTTAAATTTATGAATATGCTATTTTGCTTCATATGGTCTTCTGTGACTAGGTTTTTTTTTTTCTCCTTGAATAAGAGATTGTGGGGTGTGGGGTCTTTATTTGAATTTTTTTTTTCAATTTTGGTGAAAATACACACGCCAAACATTTGCCAATACAAATACATTGGCCACATTTGCAATGCAGTGGTATCGACTCCGTCGTACATGTTGTGCCACCATTCTCACTCTTTTTCCAAAATGATTAGTTTTTTAAAAATTCATCACTTTCTGAGATTCATCCATGTTGTTGTGTTTAATTGTACTTACATTAGTTTTTCATGGTGTATGGAATTCTGTTGTGTGAATATGCCACAGTGTCCTTTAATCAACATTTGCGTTGTTTACATTTTTTGGTATTATTAACAATGCTATTACAAATATTCTTGCACATGTCCTCTTGTGTGCATGGCTTGAGGGTATAGATGTAGGAGTGTAATTGCTGGAAACGCACATGTTCATCTTTGCAAGATGATACCAATTTGTTTTACAAAGTGGTTGTACTGGTTTATACTTTCACAGGCAATGTCAAAGTTTAGGTTATTCCATGAGCTCATAACACCAAGAGGTTTGTTAATTTTTGGTGACCAAGTAGCAGTAAAATGTTATTTCATCTTGGTTTGAATTTTTATCTTCCTATCACTAACGTGGTTGAGCATTTATTTTTTCATTTTTTTTTTTTTTGACCACTTAATAGGAACTCTGGTGGCACAGTGGTTATGAGCTTGGCTGCTAACCCAAAGATCAGAGATTTGAACCCACCAGTTGTTCTGTGGAAGAAAGATGTGGCTGTCTGCTCCTGTAAAGATGTACAGCCTTGTAAACTTTATAGGGCAATTCTGCTCCTATCTGTATGGTCTCTAGGAGTTGGAATTGACTTGACAGCAATAAGAACTGGATTGGTCACTCATTTTCACTTTTGTTGAAAGTCTGATTGTATTTTTTGCCTCTTTTGTTACTGCATTGTCATTTTATTATTGATTTTTAGGAAAATAAATAAATAAATAAATA